GAATGTTACAGGGAGCCCCGTTATTCTGGAATAATGGAAAATAGACCTTTTGGTGGAGTGAGTGTCCTGCCCTGCTCCCCAGTGTGGCTGCACCTCTGCAGCCCCTGGCCAGCCAGGCTGACCTCCCCGAGCTCATCCCCATGTAAACCAGCCCACAGTGACACACCAGATCACGTCCTGCTCAGACCATGGGGCTGTAGTAACCCCTTTGTAACCAAGGGGGCTGTAGTAAAGCCAAATGAGAAGTGTGGCTGATACACGGATGGGATCACACCAGCTCAGAGCCCCCTGGTCTGCCGTGCTCATTCCACAGCAGCTGGGAGCTCCTGGAGCAACCTGGGAAGGTCAGTGAGGGTTCTGGTGGTCCCTCCTCCCTGCAGGTGCCACCACTTAAAGGCAGCTGCTAGAAAAGCCCGGCCAGAGAGGCTGTTGCTGCTTTGCAGGAGCTGGGCTGGGAGGAGGACGAGCTCCCAAGCAGGCCAGGTAAGGAGTGTCTGGGGAGCTGGAGGGAATTGCTGGGGTGGTTTTGTCCCTTGCCTGGAAGGGGAGCTGGTGGTCTTGGAAAAGGAGATAAGGCCTAAAGCCCCCTGAAGGGTGAAGCTGTGTTGGTGTCCCATTTTCCTCCACATGCTCTCCCCCTCAGCTGGGGCTGCTCCCTCCCCCAGGCTGTGTGTGCTTGGTGGGCTGCTCCCTCCCCCAGGCTGTGTGTGCTTGGCACCATGATGTTGACACCTACCCCAGATCGCCATGAACATGGCAAACAAAACTGTCCCCTCGTTGTCAATCATGTGAGTGACCTGGAGAAGATCAAGGAAGAGGGTGATGGGGGCAGTGGGTACAGGGCTTGTGGCACCTGGTCCTGTGTGCTCAGGGGTCCCCTTGCCACCCTGTTCCCCCCTGAAGCTGATGAGGTGCTGCAGGAGGGAAAACTGCAGGAAGGGGATGGATACTGGGAGTTGGTGGTGGTGGAGACCATGATCTGGCTCCAGCTCCTGCTCCTGGCACAGGTTGGTGCAGGTTTCCTGTGTCCTGTAGCTACTTTGCTGTGGTAGGTTTTCCTTCTAGTGGTGTGGGAACAGCCCAGCCTGGGAATGTTTCCCCATCCTCTGCCTACCTTGGCGTAGAGGCAGGTGTCAGAGAGCAGCCAGAACGGGCACTTCTGGTCGCAGAGCGGGCACATGATGGTGCTGTTGGCTTCACAGATCTCCTTGCTAGGAAGATGGGAGCAGAGGGAAGCCAAGGGCAGGAATGGGGGCTCAAAGGCACAGCAAAGGCTGGTGAACGGGGTGGGAATTCAGCATTCCCAGCACAGCCTTACCTCACCTGGCTGGAGTGGAAGGTGGTAATCCCAGCTACGAAGACCACCAGCCCGGCCACTGCAGCAAACCCCAGCAGGTAGGTGTACCAGCCCAGCCAGGCAAAGTACAGGGCCACCTTCTCCCCAAAATAGCACCTGGAAGGAATGGTGAGATGTGGTTTGTGGCCAGAGAGACCAAGCTGCAGTCAGTGCCTACAGGGGTTGGGGAACGCTGGGCTGGAAGCAGAGGAGGGGCTGCAGGGTGCAACGTGTCTCAGCCCAGAGCAGGTTCTCCCCCTGGGCTCAGCTGATTTCCTGTCTTATGCTTATGGTGGCAGCATCTTGGGATTTCTGCTGTGGGGAAAAGGGTTGGAGGCCTGGGTAGGAAATTATGGGAGCTGCTGCCTGGGACCTGCCTCTTCCTGCATCCCAGGGGAACTGCCTTCCTGCCAGCAGTCGAAGGTGGGAATGTGCTCCCTGGCTGTTATTTAAAACAAAAAGCCCAACACTCCTCATCCCCCCTCAGTGTCGATCCCTCTGCAACAGCTCATGATGCACTGACCTTAGGAACAAGGAGCTGCCTGACCCTGTGCACCACGGAGGCACCAGGGTCCCTCGTGCCTCTGCTGGACTTGTAACCAGCAGCAAAGGGGTAAGGAGGGAGAGCAGCTCTCCAGCTGGATGCTTCATCTCCCCCCTGAGCCCTCTGCCAACTTCATGCACTTTTGCCCTCCTTCCCCTGTCCGTGCAGAGTTAGTTTTCTTCCCCTTTTCAAAGAAGAGCTTGTGCCCTTCCCTGAGTCCAGTGTGGCTGCAGGAGCCCCTTGCTGGCTCTGAGCCCTGGGCTGGAGGTGCTGCCCTGCTGCCCCCTCCCCACCTCCTTCCTTCTGGACCTGGGGCAGTGAGGTTGAAAATGAAAGCAGCTAATTAGAACCCGTGCAGGGGTTGCTTCACCCTGCAGAATTAGCAGCTGGGGCTCATGCTGTGGGGGTGCCCCTTGGGCTTCAGAGGGAGCCCAAGACTTGCAAGAAGGGTCAAGTTCAAAGTAATGATTGAAAGGGAGACACAAGGAGCCTGGCAAAGGGCACAAAGCTCTCTGGGTTTCAGTGGGATCTCTTGGCCAGAGGGACCTGCTGTGCCTCCTGTGCCCGTGTTACCTGATCTTCTCAATCGGCTGTTGGCGGAATATTTCCCTCCAGCGAGCCCAGTGTTCCTTTAGGAACTCCCTTATCTCTTCTTTCTGGAGAGCAGAGGAGTGGGTCACATACAGGAATTTTAGGGCAACCTGGTTCCCCAGCCCTGCTTCCAGGCTGCTGTTGGGAGCCCTGTCGTGCCCCTCATCCAGAGAAGTCCTGATGCAGCCCCTGTCACCAATGGTGTCTCCCAACCCATTTTGCTCCTCCACCTCTCGTGGCTTTTCCTCCCAGGCACCCATGTTCTTGGTCTTACCTCGTGCAGGGGAAATGTTGCCTCAAAAACCTTCTTCTTCATCAGGTCACGCAGCTTCTCTGGTAGCAGAGGAGACAGGGGAGGATTAGTGAAGCTTTGCTCTTGCCCTGGTGCTCCCTGACAGGCAGAATCACCCCAAACCTTTTCTGGAGCTTTTGAAGGAGGGGAGGGGTGGGGGGGTGGGGAGCCCAACAAACACCACCAAAACCAAAGCCTGGGAGAGGCTGAGTTGTCCAAATAGGATCAGCACTAATCCTGACCATTGCTAGTGTGCTGGGCTGCCCCAGGCTGTGCTGTGGGTGGCTCTGGGAGCAAGACAGGGAGGCAGGACCTTAGTGACAGCTGGAAAGGCAGCACCTGGGGCTGCCCTGCTCCTCCTGGGGGCAGAGAGGGACCAGCTCTTCTGGGGACACAGGAGAGCAGCAGTGGGCAGCTGGGTCAGGGGGCTGGGAAGAGGGAGTCAAGGGCTGTTGCTGGTTCCCCCACTCCAAATCTCCCAGTCTCTGGATGCAACAGCAGTTCTGCTTGTCTGAGCTGCACCCTGGCTTTCTTCCCCCCCTCCTCCCCGGGGGTGTCAAGGCAGCTGGGGATGCCCCTGCCCACCCTTACCCCTGTCGGGGGTCACTGTGTTCTGCAGGATGAAGTTCACAAGCCGTATCCTGAGCAAGGAGAAACTGTGGTTAAGGGCTGCCCTGGGGACACAGCCTGGTGCTGTGTGGCCCTGGAGCAGATGGAGGAGAGGGGGCAGAACCGGGGAGCTGGCTGTGGGCAGTGGGGAGGTGGCAGCTTCACTCGTGGTGGCTGGAGGTGCCTTCTGGGGAAGAGGAACTGCCTGGCACAGCTGCTGGGAAAGGGCTGCTGGTGTGGAGAGGGGGCAGTGGGAGGTGCTGGCAGCCAGTCACCCTGCTCAGCGCCCACCTGGTGGTCACTGGGACTTCATGATTGTCCTCGGGCTTTTGCAGCCTGCTGTCCGGGTTCCTCAGGAGCCACTGGTACTTCCGGAAGATGTGGTTTGGGGCACGGACTCCATAAAATAGCTTCTTGTCCTCGATTTTCTAGTGGGTGGAACAGAAGGGCTGTTAGAACAACGGTGGCCAGAGGGGCAGGGACAGGATAGAGCTGCAAGGGCCAGGAGCCACGTGAGTCCTGGGCTGGGGTCTCCCGTGGTTCAGCAAGTGGTTTGTTTTCCAGCACTGGTAGGGTGATCAGCTCCATGGCTCAGGTCTCTGCCATCTCCTGGGGTACAGGAGTCCAGACCAGGCTTGGATCCTGGGTACCACAAGATAACCAAGTATCTGCTGCCTTCTCCTCACCTTGATGGTGAACCCCTTCTTGCTCAGCTCATCCAGGAACTTCTTTCTCTTGATCTCCTTCTCGCTGCCCGCTTCGTGAATGTTGCTTACCAGGATGTAATCCCACTTCTCTTCATCCTGCCCCCAGGAAACACCAGGGAATTGACGGGGGTGGCAAGGTGAGGGCTCTCCCCCTCGGCTCCAGCCTCTCAGAGGTTTGGACTTCAGCACGACTGTGGAGAGGGAGCTCTTGGAGCTGTGCTGAGCTCCCCGAGGGCAGAGGGAGCAGAACTTACCGGGGGGGCAAAGGGGTCCGAATCCTCGACAGGAAATTCCCTCCAGGGGGTCAACAGGATTTCATCCTGTGAAAGAGAAAACCAGTGGAGGCTTCAGTGGGTCCCTGGGAGCCCCCACACCCGGGGACAGAGCAAACCTGTCCCTCAGTTGTGTTTTCAATGGATTGGCAGAAGCAGAGCAGGCTTCAGACCCCGGCGGGTGCCGTGAGCTCTGCAGGCTGCCCTGGGATGGAGCAGGGCCCATCAGAAAAATGGGGTCTGGGGGATTTCTGCAGTTCTCTGCTGTGACTCCTGGTGCAGCCCCACAAACAGTTGTGCTGCCTGTCCCGAGGGCATGGTGATGGAGCACAGCAATGGGAAGGAGCTGCCAGAGGATGGGAATATTGTCAGTGTTGCCACCAAAGATGCTGTGACCTGGGAGAGTGGCCAGCCAGACAAGCTGATCCAGCTGTAATCTTGGGAGCAGAGCCATGGTGGTGAAACCATGCCCTGATGTAAGAGCTGGATCCCAGCCTTTCACTGGGGAATGAGGCCATGGGAACAGCAGAGACTGGGATGAGGAAAGGGCTGAAGTGCTCTGCCAAAGCCTCTCTCAGGTGGAGCTGGTGCTTCACCCAAGGCAAAAAGGCCAATCTGGGGTTGGTCTACTCAGGTAGGCAAGGTTCCTGGCTGGTGTGGCAGCTCTCCATGTCCCCAACCAAAAGCCCCTCTCTGAGCAGGGAATAGGAGCCCTATGGGGCTCTGCCCCACTGCTGGTGCCCCAGTGCTGGCACAGATCTTGTCTGGCATTGGGTCTCTGCAGGTTGTGTTGTCTCATTCCTGCCTGGCTGGTTTCTCTCACCCTGCACAGAGTGCCTGGGGGGCTGCCAGCCTTCCTGCTCTACCCCTGCAATGTGGGGGAAGCCACCCTTGGGGATGGGGGGGTTTCCAGGGGTTTTGAGGTGCCTCTGGGGTCAGCACCTTGGCATGGCTGTCCTGCTGGTGGGGACCCCAGCAGAGGTCAGGATGAGGTGAATGGACTTGCTGGTATCAGGGCTCCCCTTCCCGGGTGGGTGCCAGCCCTGTTGTCTGCAGCACCAAACCTGCTGGGGAGGCAGAGCATCCTGGCCAGCACCACTGCTCCCTGCGGAACAGGCTGACAGGAACACCAAGGTAGGCTTGGGAATGGGATGCATCCAGCCATGGGGCTTGGTCTGTGTAGCCAGGTTGCAGGGCTGGGGTATCAGGATCATGATCCCCAGATCCCTGATGGTGCTGCCAGCCCCTGCCTGTGCCTCAGGATCTTCTCCACAGGCTGAGCTTCTGCAGAGCTTCCTCCACCATCATTCCTGACATCCCTGGCCTCCCAGGGATGCAGCCAGACCCTGCCCCTGCTCCCCCATGTTCCTGAAATAGCAACCACGGATTCTAATCCCAGGAGGGACTTGTTGCTTTCTCATTTTCCAGTCAAGCCCCCAGAACCGTGGGGATGCTTCACAGCTCTCCAGGCAGTTGGGAGGTGGTGGCAGAGGGGTCTGGCTTGTCCCTCTGTTCCCATGTGCCGGCCCTGGGGCAGGGCTGAGAAAAGGGGAGGAATCTGTGAATTTCTTGTGGATTAGCACAGACCATTCCCAGCAGCCGCCTCCGGGGCCTTAACAGATAAAGATGGCACTGGGCTGCAGGGAGGAGGTGCAGCCCTGGGCTGATAGAAGAGCAGCATTCCAGCAGGATCCCAGCAAGGCAAAGCCCCTGGCTGCTGGGAATGCTGCGCTGGAGCCCGGCAGCTCTGGGGGCTGGATCTGTCTTGTAGGCAAGGACAGCAGCAGAAAGGGGGGCTGTGGGTCACTGTTTTCTTTTGTCCCGAGGATCTAGTGATACTGTCAGGGCTGGCAGCACAGGGAGCCAGGTCCCAGGTGCTGTGTAAACCCTGGACTCTCATCCTGGCTATCAAGGAGGACGTGCCCGGTTTGCTCCTTCCTGCCCCGCGGCTGGAGGGGGGCTGGAGGCTGTGCAGAGGGAACTGCCACAGGGAGAAGCAGGAATTCCAGCGTTAAAAAGGGTTTGCACATCCTGAAGCTGGCCTGGTTTCTCTGCAGTGGGTCCTTGTCCCCTTGTCACAGGCTGGGTCACCTGCTGCCAGGTGACTGGCTCGGGCAGAGGGGTGATGGCAACAGCCACCCTGGGCTGGGGTAGTCACCTGCAGGAGTGACTCAGGCAAAGCACCTGGAGGATCCAGCGTCTTTGTTTTCCTTCCTAATCATGGATTGGTGAGGGGTTGGGTGGTTCCCATCACCCACACAGAGGTGATCAAACTGCTTTTATCTCAGGGACGTTTCTGGCACGCTCCTGCCTTTGGGTGCTTCCACGTTGCCCCGGTGCTTCCTGAGAAATGGGAGAGGCTGCAATTGCACAGGCAGGTGGAACACCTGCACATGTGTTAGCTCTCCCAGCCTTTGAGAGTTGGCCTGGAGTTCTGAACAAGAGAAAACAGCATCTTCTCTTTCAAGGTTAGAGAAATGAAACTTCACAGCTCCCCCTCTCCCCTTGCTTTCTTCCAGGTGCTCCCAAAACCTCTGGGGCTGCTCCCTCCTCTGCTTTACGCGGCGTCTGGGTTTATACAAACAACAGATCTGGTCTCGACCCAAACCAGCCTTCTCAGCCCTGTGCTGCAGCACCTCTGAGCTCTGGGGCTCGGGGTGCTGCGCGGGGCTCGGCTCTGCCCTGCTCCCCGGCTGCAGGAGCTGCAGCCCCCCAGCTTCCCCATCACGGGATCGCTCCCTGGGAAGAGGGCAGGGAGGTCAGCGAGGCTCTGAGGACACCAGGGGCTGGCGGCACCCGCGGGGCACAGCTCGGCGTGTCCGAGCTCCGGGCGGCTCACAGGGGTGCTGAAAATCAGCCCTTAGGAGATACCTGGGCAGGGTCTGTCTCCTACCTGCATGGTGGCGTGGGGAGCCTCTCTCCGTGCCCCTCCTCGGGGCCGGGGGGGGCTCTGTGCCGGGCGGGGGGCGATGCTGCCGGGCCCCCGGGGCTCCTCGCCCGCTCTGCTTCCCTTCCCCTGCTCCTTCGCCCGAGGTCTGGTGTGAGCCCAGCAGTGACTTGGCTCTGGCTGCCCCTGCCTGGCAGCGGCAGGTAGGGAGGAGGAGGGAGCTGCCCTTCGCCCGCGGGAGTGCCGAGCCCAGCACCGCCCCGCAGGGCCGGCAGGTACCTGTGCCTTCCCTGCCAGCTCCGCTGCTGTCACCCCCGCCTCCTGCCCTGCCCCACAGCATCCCCAGGGAGGTGTCACACCTGGGCGGGAAGGAGGGAGGCTGCAAACGTCCCCGAAGGGGGGGGAAGCAGTAGGAGAAGCTCTGGGAGATGTTGAACTGTTCCTTAAAGGAAGGGGAAAGAGCTTAAACCTGAAAAGGGAAGATAAAACTAGGCTATGTGAAACCTGCCTGGGCTCCCCAGAGGAGATGGGGCTTGAGAGGCTGGGGGTGGGAGCAGCATGGGTTGCAGAGGGGGTGGGATGGGGCCAGGGTGAGCTCATTAGCAGGCAGGACAAGGAAAAGAGGTGAAGCCTGAGCTTCCAGGTCACTGAGGGGACTGCTCTGCCCTTGTTCCCACTTGAATGCAGCCCTCTTCCTTCCTGCCTCGGGCAGTGGCCTGGTTTGCTCTCCACCACTTTGTTTTCCCCTACGTGGCCTCCAGAAACGATTCTGTGAACCTCAGGAAATCTGCCTTCCTGGAAGGGCTGAGCAGAGGCTGAGAAATCCTTTCTTCATGCCTCACTGGTTGGCAAGGCCAGCAGGGGAAGCCACATGCCCCCCTTCCCCTTCCCCACGTGCTGCTGTGTGCGAGGGCAGAGCATCTGTGCATGTTTTACAGCCCTTAAGAACAACTTTCCCCCCACTCCTGGCTGAAGAGGAAAGCACCAAAATGTTTTCTGAATGTTCCTCCAAACCACAGAGCCCTCCTAGCTCCCTGCTCCTTAAAATCTTGTCACTTCCAAGTAGATGTGATTTACTAGGGTACAATTGCTCTGCTTTCCTGATGGCACTTGTGTTGGGATGCTGGGCTGTGCCACACTGGAAATTGTAATCAGATCACTGAGAGCTCTTTCTGTTTGTGAAGGTTGGATCCATCTGGAGCTATGGCTTGGAGCAGGGAATAACTGAAATGAAATGAAGAGGTTGGTTTGTGTAAGCCAGGTCTAACCATTCTCCTTATATCAGTTTTCTGGGTTTTTTTCTTGCTTTAGTTTCCAAGCTAGGCAGAGCTGCATCTTCCTGGGCATAGCAGAGGGCCAGTAACTGCTCTGGATTCCCTTTTGCTCTCCAGCAGCTTCGCTGTGGGTTGCTCTCCAACAAACTAGGTCCTGGAGGAGCAATCTGGCTGTGTCCTGGCAGGAGAGGCAGCCAGCATTTCCAGAGCCTTGTTCCCCGCCAAACCAGCATCACTCTGCAGCTTTGCCAAGGGCCTTGAACAGGCTCCAGAACAGACCTGCAAATTTGAAGAAGAAAAATCATCTTCCACAAATCCCCCTGCCTGTGAAAGCAGGAGCAGAGCAGGGGAAGGAGCGGGCAGACCTTTCACCTCCCCGAGGGAACGTGCTGGGCTGGCCAGGAGGGGAAAACCACCCTTATCACCTGAGGCTTTTTATGGGTGTGGGAGGACGTGTGTGTTTACCTGGCAGGAGAGTGAAGCCTTGTGAGATAGGATCTCTGGTGCTTTCCACAGCTCCTGTCTGAGGATCTTTGGACCATAAGCACTGTGGGGTTACAGGTAAATGGGGTCACCCAGGGGTGGGACGGCCACATTGCTCCACAGCACATCTGCTGCCTCCTCCTGCCAGCTTTGCCAGGTAGAACTGGGAGGACTTTGCTCTCCAGATGGCCCAGCTAATGGCATGTGGGCATCCCACAGCAGCCCTGACAGCTCGTGGGCTTTTCTGGCCTGTGGGGAGGGTGAGTCTGTGCCTGCAGGTTGGCTTTGCCCGGGGTATCTGATCCCTGCAGCATCTCTCACAGTACTCAGAGGAGATTGTGCTTTTTTTCTTCTGTTTAGGAGGAATCTGGCTTTGCCTGAGCAAGATTTAGCTCCTTCTGCAGCAAGGCAGGTGACCAAAGTGGTGGGGTTCATCTTACAGTACTTTCCTTCCCAGGAAACCCTCCTACAAGGCAGCATCTTTTACAGAAGCGTTGATTGCTCTCAGGGAACTGGTGCTGAGGAGGCACCTTCAGTCTCTCCGTGAAAAATCTGCCTCAGACACTGTGGAGCTCTAGCTTATGTGCTGAGGTCCTGCAGCTGCACCAAATCCCTCTAAGCAGCTGCAGTGATTTGGGATACCAGCCCCCTGTGCTGTCTGTTGCTGCTGGGGCTAGTCGTGCGTCACGGGGACATCCCTTGCCGTGTCACATCAGCCGTGTTGGGCAGGGGTTTGGCGGGCACCGAGCTCTGCAGGGGCACTCCTTGACCTGCTAGTCCTGGCGGGATGTGGAGCTGGGAACTTCCACCTGAGAAACGGGAAGAAACCGCTCAGGGCTCTGATCTCTGAAGCCCGTCAGCAGGACAGAAGGTGTGTGTCTGCCCTGCCTGGCAGGGATGCTTCCTGGCAGTGAGCTCCTCAGTCCTGCCTGCAGACATCCCTCAGTTAGCAGGGCACTAATAGATTTATTTGCTCTTTTCAGTTCCTAGGATCTTGGATTTTTTGGCAGAAGAGTTAAAAGGGCACTGCCTTCCTGTGTACCTGGCTAGAAGGACACAGATGAAGAAGGATCCCTCAGAAGAGGTTGTTTAGGTGTTTTTCAGCATGAAAGTGCAGCTTTCTGGCCAGCTAGGCTGCGTGAACCACTTCTATGTCATGAACTGAGTTGAAGCAGAGGTTCTTCATCCAGCCCAGGGATGTTGTTGCTCCAGCAAAGGACCTGGCTGCTCAGCTTCATGTGAGACCCAGAGCTGCTTGGCTGGGACAGGAACTTGCAACGCACTTTGTGTGTAATGAGAGGTGCAAGCCGGGTGGGGAAAAGAAAAAAAATAACAATTTGAGGACTCATTCTTTCTGCCTTCATCAAGAAATCAGTCAAAAAGCTGGCTAGAAGTGCCTGGGGAAAAGCTGCTAATTGAAATGGGCTGGAGCAAATGAATGTAAGGATGTTGAATCCTACCTGCAGTTGGAAAAGGAGAGGGGAGACAAGCTGCAAACAGCAGCCAGTGATGCTGAGCCAGCATGTGGAGCCTGACAGCCACTTGTTGGGCCTGTAGGGTTTAGGATTGATTGCAGTGTCCCTGTTTCTCAGCAGCTCCCAACAATCCTGTTAGAAAACAGCGCTAATGAGCAAGCTGGCCAGAAATCCAGAGCCTGGCAAGAAGATGATGTTGGGTCTGAGCGCTCGAGCTGCTGTCTAGCACCACCAGCTGTGCTCTGGGGAGAACTCGGCAGGAGCAGCTTCTGCTGAGGGAACTTTCTGCTCCCTTGGCCAAAAGTTGTTTTGCTGTTTGAGGCTGAGGCAGGCAAAGGAACAGCCGGTGTGCAGCAGAGAGGCCAGCCCATACCGCCCTTCTCTGGCTGTGGGATTTGGTGCTGCTCTGGGTAGAGGTCCTGGGAAGCTTCGCTCCCCCTCGGGAGCCATGGAACCCAGCGGTGCTGCTGGGAGGGGTCCTGGGGGTCCCCAGTTCAACCTCTGGGAGCAGGCGAGGGGCTCTGTCCAGCTGAGCCCTGGCAGATCCCCCCCAGGTGAGCTGTTGCAGCCCTGCACAACCTCCCCAGGAAAAAGCTTCCCCTGAAGCCCAGCCTGCACTGTCCTGCCACAGTTTATGGTCTCTGCTGCAAAGTCTGCTCTGGCTGAGCGTTTTTGGCCTCTTGTGCTCTTCTTCTGGCTGTGCCAAGCCAGTGAGCATCTCCAAAAAGCCAGGTCCTGTAACACCACAGGCCATTTTGCTGTAGAGTTGAGTGGCAGCGCAATGGCCTGAATTCTGTTGTAAAACTGAGGCATTTTCACCCAAATCCTAGTCTGTTTAGGTCCACTGTTATCCCTGGAGCTACGGCTGATACGTGGCAGTAGGGAACGTGGTTTGGGGTGAAGCCCTGCTTGTAATGAAAAAGTTTTGGGTGAAAATGAAAGCTGTGTGAGCTCAGGCTCTGCTTTTGGGAGGTGGCAACTCTGGGGACAAGCCCGGTGCCTCTGGCTCTCACACAGCTCAGCGGGGTGGGCAGGAGGTGTCAGAGGTTGGCAGGGGGCTGTGCAGCAGCTGGGAGGGTCTTGGCTCTGCTGGCTTTGGTGGGGGTTTTTCTCAAAGGGCAGGAGCATTGCAGCTCCTCAGGGAGCACTGAAGCATCTTTACGGACTGAGAGGGGAAATAAAGAAGCCCTGATCCCTCCATGGGCTCTGCCGGCCCCAAGCTGCTGGTTGGAGGCACCTCTGGGTGCCAGGACAGGCCCTGGGCCGCAGGCTCTGCTGCCATCAGCTGGGCCGCCCTTTTCTCTGCAGGCCTCGGGATGGTTCCTCTCGTTTCTTCCTGGGTTTCGTTGAGCCCCTTCCTGCAGGGCTTCGTTTCTCCTCCACACACCATCCCCTGGTGTCCCAGGACTGCTGGGAAGCACCAACCGGGGCACTGGGAAACCTCAGGACAGCCTGGCAAGGAGGACTTGTCCCTCAGTGAATCAGAGGGGCTGGGTTTAGCGTTAAGCCATCGACGTTAATTAGCATTCCTGGGTTACTTTCCCCAAAAGGTACAGAATTTTGGCACCAAATGCTGCTACAACACTGCTAGAGCTTGCAAAGTTCATCTGCTCCTGGCACAGCACTGTCCTGGCACAGCTGGTAGGAATGTTTATTCATTTTTCCTCCCCTCCTTTGTATTTTGTTGGAAAAAAAGAGCGTTCTTCTCTGCTCTTCCTCCCCCCAGAGCAGCCAAATTGCCTGCCACCCCAGGAGGGGCAATTCCAGGTTCCACAGCCCCCAAGGATGATGTGGGGGGTCTCGATGGTGTCGGGGTCTGCAGAGACACCCTCATCATAAACATCAGTCTCAGCACACCCTGATTCCCGCTGGGCTCTCAACCAGCAATGAGATTTACTCCCCTCCCTCTCTGTTGCCAGGCCCGACTCGCGAGCAAACGTGAAGTAATTCACTGCAAACTGTCCAGATGGACACAAGATCTGTGTTGTGATTGGTGATGACACGTCTGAGAACCCTGATTGTGCAAGTTGTGTGCATTTCTGCTTCCCCGTGTGAGTTACGTGTTAAGAGGTATTTTCAGAGGAGCAGGTTTCACCTGCTGTTTTGTTAGAGTGAAATGGTGTCAGTATGAATAACTAGCTTTGGTTTAGACTAAGTTTAAGTTTTTAGAGGCAAAGGTGTCAGTTTGCTCCGTTCCCAGGTAACTTTATGAATGTGTTGAGCAGGTCCTGTCCTCACACAGATCCTTGAGGAAGGTCTGCTGATTCTTACTCGAAAAAAAGTCACCTTTTTGCTCACGTTCTTGATCTGATGCTGACTGACAAGATACAGACATTTACCCTGTTATCCCTCCTGTTTGGGGCGTCTTGTTGGAAGCATTCTTAAATCTGAGTGTTTTATTGTCCTCATCGCTCTTCTTTGTGTGTCACCCACTGTGTATGTCTTATTATTCTTTAAAATGAGCATATGGATGTACCTCAGACAACTTCAGCCCTCACGTTCTTGATCTGATGCTGACTGACAAGATACAGACATTTACCCTGTTATCCCTCCTGTTTGGGGCGTCTTGTTGGAAGCATTCTTAAATCTGAGTGTTTTATTGTCCTCATCGCTCTTCTTTGTGTGTCACCCACTGTGTATGTCTTATTATTCTTTAAAATGAGCATATGGATGTACCTCAGACAACTTCAGCCTGGACTTGGGACAAGGGCAGGGAGGGATGGGATGAGGGGGATGGATGAAAACTGGAAGAGGGAGATTGAGGTGAGA